TGAAGATGGTGTTTGCCTGTTTAGTGGAAGCCTAGGAAACTTGGCTTGAGAGGAATGGCCTAGGAAAAAACTGCATGGAAAGAACCACATTGAAAGACCAAGATTTTGACAGTTTGGGGAGGGAGAAGAGTAGGTCTAAGTCAAAAGAAAAATAAACAAGTATTGGAAATGTCTAGGTTTAGCAGCAGGCTAAGATTGATCAATAGATACAGACACACATGAATGGAGGCCAGTGAAATAAAACCAAGGTAGCAGTTAAGTTACACAAGGAAAGAGGATCAAGAAGTCCTTCAAGTTGGTAATGTTGTGGTTGTGTGCCTTCAAGTCGTTTCCAACTTATAGCAACCCTGTCCTGGGGCTTTCTTGGCTAGCTTCTTCAGAGGGCATTTGCCAAGGCTCCCCTCTGAGGCTGAGAGCGTGTCACTGGTGTGTTTGGGCAGCTGAGCCAGGATTCGAACCCTGGTCTCCAGAGATGTAGTCCAACACTCTAACCACTACTACACCAAGCTGGATCATGTAATGCAGCAGTACTGCACGTTTAGAGCCAGCATGGTGTAGTAGTGGTTTGAGTGTTGGACTAGGACTCTGGAGAGCAGGGTTCGAATCCTGGCTCAGACATGTAAACCCACTGGGTGACCTTGGGCAAGTCACACTCTCTCAGCCTCAGAGGATGACAATGGCAAATCTCCTCTGAAGGAACGTGCCAAGAAAACCCAATGATAGGGTTGCCTTTGGGTTGCCATAAGTTGGAAATGATTTGAAGGTACACACCAACCAACAGCTGCAACTTTACAGCTGGATCTGAGGAAGCAGACTCAAGTCTGTGAAAGCTCATGCTACCAACTACGGTACTCACATTCTGTTAGTTTCAATGGTGCTACAAGATCCCTTTGCCTAGTGATTTTCCAGACTAACACAGCTATGCCTTTGAAACCTACAGAAAGAGTTAATAGCCCCATGAAAGCTCATGACACAATCCTGAAGGTGCCTCAGGGCTCACTAAGATGGTGAGGCTTAAATTTGGCCTCTTGATAAGCTTCAAGGTTTATGGTCTTGTCCTCCCAAACTAATACCCTGCTGAGCCCAATTGCTTTGCCTGGAGTAGAGTTTCCTCCCAGGTGTAAAATCATTCCTCTTCACTTCTCTTCCTTGCCCAAGTGAAAACAAACAGTAGCTCACTTAAGAAAGCCAGGAGGCAATAGTAAATTGTTCCTCCAATAACACACACTGGCTGAAAGAAGTTTTAGTCTATGACTTGGAACTGTTAGCCAAGAAGGTTGGGATGGTTTTGGGACTTTGCTCCTGGCAATGGGTGGGTTGGAAGGCAGAATTAACTTTTTAAAGCCCCTGGATCCTGAGATTCTGATTCTTTTTTTTTCTTTCAATTTCTCCTACCTCCATGCTAGCTGAGGAAGAGGAAAAAGTATTTCTTACTGGGATACAAATGTCAAATTTAGTACTCATGCATCTGGGGGTGAATAAATTTAGAGCAAGAAATAAATAAATGCACAGCACTCTGATAAGTTGCATGATGGTCTACTTGGATATCACTAGTGGGAGGTAGTGGTCTTAAGGAGATCCAGCATGGCATAGTGGTTTGAGAGCACTGGACTATGACTCTCCTCCTTTGGAGGTCCAAAGAAAATCTGTCATTTGGCCAGATCTCATTAAAAAAGCTGTTAAGATGGATCTCTTCTGGCAAGCCTTTCCTGAGTAGGTAACTGGCCACCAAAAATAGTTAAACCTGTCCCTGATTTTTCACCATTTTAAATTATTTGTTATTTGTGATTTTTAAGTACGGTATGTTTTTATTATTATTATTTTGTCTGTTTAATTGCATTTTAAGGGGGGTGGACTATTGGGGTAAGGGATTGTTTGTTTTATCTTGTAAGCCACCTTGGTTGTTCTTACAGAGAGGCGGGATATAAATAAATTTTATTATTATTATTATCATTATTATTAGGTCTTTAAACAGAGGCTAGATGGCCATCTGTTGGGGATGTTTTGATTTTGAGTTCCTGCATGGCAGGGGGTTGGACTGGATGGCCTTTGTGGTTTATTCCAACTCTATGATTCTATGACTTAGGAGACTAGGGTTTGAATTGCAGCTTGGCCATGTAAATCCACAGATTAACCTTGGGCAAGGCACACTCTCTCCGCCTCAGAGGATGGCAATGGCAAACCCTCTCTGAAGAAACTGGCCAAGAAAATCCCATGATAGGATTGCCATAAGTCAGAAACTACTTGAAGGCACACCGCAACAAGAAAGTTGTCTTAAAGTGAGTTTTTGGGGAATGCAGGATTAATATAGTCAACAAGGAACTGTTTATAGGGTTAAAGAATGTAATATTGTACTTCCCCTTTTGTGCCAAGTTTTGCTCCTGGGCTTGTGGCACAGGTTTTGGAAACCTACAAACGTAGCCCTGTACTAAGAAAATCTTACTACTTAGTGGGGAAATTCACACCCAACTTGTTGGATACCAGGTGGTTGAGGCCCAAAAACCAACCTAAACCCCAGAAACTTAAATCTTAAATTCCTGTTGATGGTAGCCACAATGGAAGCCAGCCAGTAATATGTCTTGGAAAGCCTTCTGCATGGGTGTGTAATCTCAGAATTCATCTCTTAAATTCTGGTTGCAACGAGGAAGTAGGAGAAGGAGCCAAACAATGCTGGCCCTAAAATAGAATTGTGTTTCTGCAGCAGTGTGAAAGAGGAGAAAGGGAAGAGGAGGGGCAGGTGACTTCTATCCCACAGGTGTAGTAAGGAGAGTTAAAGGTGTTATAAGGATTGCTAACAGCCCAGGAACTAAGCTGTTAACAGAATAAACTGGGACTTAGAAGAAGATGGTACACAAGATAAGGTTTGTGTTTGTTCATGATTTGTTGTGTTTACATCCTGCTTTTCCTTCAGTTAATTTTAGGTAGCATATGTGCCTTTCTTTCTTCTTCACTTTATATTCTATACTCACAACAGCCAGGTGCCAAAAGAGAGTCTGGTCCAGTGGTGTTCATAGCTATAGCTCAGTAGAGAATATAACCTTCATCTTAAAGTCCCAGGGCAACCCACAAACCACCACACCTCTGTTTGTTGGTTGACAAATCTCTTCCTCTGCCTGTTTCTTGGGTGAGCATCTTATACCCTTCAGATGTCTTTATTGATTACAGCTCCCATCACCCCTACCTTTGGCTATGTTGGATAATATTGATAGGACTTGTAGTCCAACAACTTCTAAAGGGCCACGTGTTTCTATCGCTGCTTGACTGTAACTTTTATTTGGCTGAACAGTTTTTTGCTTCAGTTTAGACTTCAGATGACAGATTGCTGCAGCACTGGAGAAGAATTTAGAGCAAAGCATACCTGTCTTTTTGTGAAATGAGTAGAGGTCTGTTTTTGGGATGCTGCACACCAAGGCCTGCAAATAGCCTTGAAAGCAGGGGCTGGCTATAATTTTCTCTTTGCACATGTAATGTTTAACTATGGTTAAGCATTACTCCTTCATAGATCCATAGAATTTGGGAGCAGGTCTAAAATCTAGTTGTCCAACTCAAATATAAAACTTTATGGAGCAACTTTAAGCAAAGCAGCTTCATTTATATACCACTTTATACCACGCTATTTAGTGTCTAAGCGGTTTAGAACTGTAAGCTCATTGCCCCCCAACAGCTGGGTACTCATTTTAGTGACCTCGGAAGGATGCAGGCCTGAGCCAAGCCTTTATTAGTTACTTATGAGTAGGTTTATCTACGACAGCATTTTAAGCACAGTTGGTGTAAATCAGTTGGTCCTTCAGAGAAGGCACAAGATCCTAAGGTAGTCACATGTATCTTCAAGTCATAGTTACACAAAAAGTCATAACTGCGAATATGGGGTTAAATTAACTATCTGATCCAGGTCTCACATGCTCCAAACACAGAAGGGATCATGGCAAGGTTACTGTATATCCTGGATGCACTTCTGGTTGGCATGTATTAATCCCCAGTTACCTTTTTAAGCACTTGGATGTATGCTTAACAGTACATATGCTATTTGATTTCTACAACTGTGGGGCCCTTGGTATCTGCTGGGGTTTGGTTCCAGAACCACCCCCCCACAGATTCCAAAATTGGTCAATGCTCAAGTTCCATTAAATACAATGGCATAGTAAAGTGGTGTCCCTTATATAAAATGACAGAAACAAGGTTTGCCTTGATTCAGTTTCTCTGAGTATTTTCAAGCTGTGGATGGTTGAATTCATTGCTAAAGAATTCCTGGATACTGAGGACCAAGTATATTATATTCATTTGGCACAATTATTAGTTTTCATTTGGAAGTCATCTTTATTAAATCATGCTCACGCATGACCCTCAAAGGGGCTCAAACAAGTCATTTTGCTACCTGAAGTGAAAAACAAGATGGTACTCCCCCTCCCTTCACATAAATATATATTCCAAGTAGAAAACTTACATGGAATGCTCTGTATTTTTCTTTTAACACTGATAATGGGAGAGCATTCAATATCCTACTGGAACACAGCAGGGTAACTTAAGGGCTATGGGGCTGTAGCATCATGGTGCCACCTCCCAGTATCTGCTGCCTGAGGTAACCATTCATCTGCGCTCACTGATAGGCCTGATGATTACTTTTGCTTGAGCTTGTTCACTCCTTGCATGTCATTTTACTCCAGCAGTGCTACAGCCTAGAATAAGCCACACACTTCCACAGTATTAAATGCACAACACAGACATGTGGACTTTGTTGCAGTAGTGATACTGGATTGGAGCAGGGGAGGAAGTCATTCCACTTACAACATTTTTCTTACCTCTTTGGTGCTAAGGAAACCAGAACTACACTTGTCCCTCCACATTTGCAGCTTTGACTTTTGCAGATTTGGTTATTCACAAATTTTATTAATATATCCCCTCTAGGGGATATCTTTGTCCTCCAGCACAACTCTGTGGTCAACTTTAACCAAAAGTTGCACTGAAGAACCCAGTGATCCTTAGAGAGAACCCTCCACTAGCCATTTGTTGCCCCTACAGCACATTTCTATGGTCAATGTCTGGCAGATGTTGACCACAGAGTTGCACTG